AGGCACCCAACAATAAAGGCCAGCAGGGCCCACACTGGTCAGCCAGCCCTGCCCCTGCTCTGGCTTCTGTCCTGAGGGTCAACACATTCGACTGCTTTAGATCTTCCATCTTTTTCTTTCTACTTATTGTAGTGTACCTTGGACCAGGGATAAGAGCTCTGCAGTTATGGAGGAATCACAGAGAGGGCAGAGGAAGGGTGTCATGAGAGAGAACACGATTTTTTTTAAAGTTAATTGAAGGAAATCAACAGTCTGGCTGCCTTCCTAGTATTAGCCTTAACAGAATGTGGGAAAAAATTTTCAATCAGGTGAACCATATTTTCAAAATTTCCACATTCATATTTTTAATTCAACCTTATCTCTTGCTATTCATCTTTCTTGTTTGAGAACTCAAACTCTCAAATGAGCACAAATGAAAAATTTCCCCTTAAATATATTCTAATGCAATTAGATAAAATCATTACAACACTGTTATTCAAGAAATTCTTATCCTAAGCCCGAAAAATGATAAAATGTAAATTAATGACTGATGGATTCTTAGAAACAATGAAAGAGCATTTTATAGTACGCTAGTTCGACACCCTTGGGAAACCTCATATTTATCAATCCACAGACGAAAGATGTCAATGGTTTGTGACTGACAGGTTAGAACTTAATCTACAGAAAGTGATAAAGTGCTAGGATTTTCAGCCCAACAAAGAATATCCTCAACGGTGGCAGAGCTTTATTTCCCCAAAGAAAATACAACAATATTATAAGCAGTTTTAATTTAGCAATTTTATTTTGCATTGTCTTTTCAACTGAATCTTGTTCTGTAACCGCTTAGAATCGATTCTTTATCATCCTGCTAGTTTCTTCATCACGGAGCTAAGAGGGACTTTGGCTCATGATGACCAATTTTAAGAACCGTAGTTCTACAATAGCAAAACTAAATACTGATAACTAGTAATTATAATTCAATGTAATTCTCAACATTGATTTCAAGTGGTCTTGAAATCAAATACCTATACTGTATGAGGGAGGGTATGTGTGTGTGTGTACACACTTTGTAGTTAGTTGAGTCTGGAATGAGAGGTATGAAGCAGCTTATATGTTCCAGCCCTTTCAATCCCTACTACCTAGTCTTTGTGCTTGCAAAATACAAGAGAGAAGTTTTTGCCTGTGGCCCCAATGTAGAGTCTTTGAGTCGATGATACTTTCAAGTTTCCGGAGCTTGTTTAAAACACTATGGAGTATAACTAAAAGCCCTAATAGTTAGCTAGCCCTCTGACCACACTTGCAAGTTCAGATGCCCAGAATGAGAATGCAGAGTTCAATGGGTTCAGTGCTCCTGCCACCCTTCCACCTGTAGAACTTCAACTTGTCTTCAGAAACCTGGATATAGTGTAACCTTTCTCAGAGTCTACTCTAGATAGGTTTTATTACTTCCTCTCCGACTGTCTTACAGCTCTCGTTTCATGTCTAACAGGTAATAGCTACTTTGAGATTCTTTGCCTACATATCAGTCATTTGGCTTTTAGACCAATGTATTAACCCTCGGAGGTTCAGATCCAGGTATAGAATCTTTTCTTTCAAACAAAGTCCTTTAAGAAGAGAAAGTGAGAAGAAGAACCAATTGCATTCAACCTGAATCTGTAACTTGGAAACCAGTTTTCAGACTAGAAGCAGAGCTTGACTGGGCAAAGATGGGGATGCTAATTACAATGGCTGTCTTTCTGGTCCTTCTCTAGCAGTGATTCTTTCATTTTTATAAATGTAATAGGAATAAAATGGAACTAAGACAGACAACTGCGGCCTAATTAAAATACTACATAGCATAATGCTATAACTTCTAGTGTAAGAACAACATGAAACATCATTACAGCAGCTGTCAGGTACGAATAGAGAGCCTTTATTGTGGGCTATGATGGACTTCAGAAGTAAGCCTCAGATATACCAGGACTTTGAAGCTTGATTCTTAATATTCACCTCATTCCTAGATTGGTACCAAGAACTTACCTGGTATTAGCACTTTAGAACAGCAATTGTAGAGTTAAGAGCTCGAGAAAGAACATGAAAATTAACCTATGTTCATTTCAAACTGATAGCACACAGGATTCAGCCCCAGACTAAATTCAGCCCCATGTCAAATTCAATTAACTATGGGTGAGATCCAGAAATCTCCTTTTTCATCAAACAGCCAAGCTGATTCTGATGAAAATAAACTGAAGCCCAAATTTGAGAAATGCTACCTTACAGCACTGACTATGCCGTCTCCCATTTTACAGATAGTAAACTGAGAAGGCCAAGAAAATCTAGCACTTTCAGCCCTGCTGGCCTTTTGGTAAAGCAAACACACTGCCATCTTTTGACTTCACTGAATTAAACCTGAAATTTAAATACTGATTTGGTACCACAATGTCTGATGCATGATCCTTGTAACTTGAAGCCCTGGAATCTTCACTGGACTACCTGGGATTTAGAAGAACCCTTCGAGGATTTGGTTCATTCTCTCAGAAGGCAAAGGAAAAGATACAAATTTTTTCCTTCTTCCTACCTACCTAAGATTAATACTTTTTGTAATGTGTGCTCTAGGATTTATTTCAAACCCATGAGCATCAAGTCAAGAACAAATGGTCCAAGATGCTTATGAAATACAGAGATCAGTAGGGGAGCCTTCCCACAAATTTGTCCTTTATTACCTGTGGCATTGAAGTGGAGCTGCTCCTCTCTTTCTGAAAAGGGAGGAGTCCTTGGCCTGTGTCTCCTTTTGCTGCGCTCACCCTTCCCATGGTCCCTCCCATATACAACATCCTTGCAGTGAAGCCCGGCTTTCTCTGAGGACTTGGGTGAAAGCCGGTCTTGAAGTTGGGACTGTTTTTCCCAATCCCAAGTTTGATTCTGCTGGTTAGCCTCCCAGTCATCAGACTCAGTGCTGAGATACACCTCTCCACCGATCTTGGGAAGCAAAGGCCTCTCGTAGCCACACCGCTTCCTTTCTCGCTGTTCACTGTTGATTTGGGAATTGCCCCTCTCTCTGTCCTGGTGGCAGGATGACAGGGATTGCTCAGGTGAACAGTGCTCTTCCAGGTCTTCCAAGTGATCCAGTGGGATTGTTGGTTTCTCCCTCCTCTGCTTCCCAGGCTTGCCATCGTTTTTGATTCTACCAATCCTTGAGAATTCAGAACCCAACACCCTGGCCCTCCTTGACCTTGGTTGGTCTGAGAGGAGATGGAAGGATGTAGAAAATAAAAAGGGCATGTTAACTTGATGAGAGTATGATCTTCGGCTACAGGGAAGAGACAGGGCCCATGTTAAAACTATTTTTAAAAAAATAAAACTGCCGTTACAACTTAAGCTGAGAAGAGGTGATAAGCATTTACTGTTATGGTCCATACATACATGAAGGGATCTGGGAGAAAAGCCTCTTATGTACAAATTAAATAAAATTAGGTAAAAGAGCATAAAGCTAAAAGAAGAATTTAATCATGATTAGGAAGAATTACACAGTATTTTAATATTTGCCAATAACAATAATTATAAGCATTGGGTGCTAATTCTACTTATAAAAACAATTTAGAATAAGTAAAGGGAAAAGTGTGTGTGTGCGGGGGGGGATAGTAGTAAAATGGGGGTAAAAATAAGCTCCGTGATTTTAGGCAGAATTTTTCCAACTCTTCTTTTTGGAGGTGACAATAAATCTTTATGATGCTTTACAGAATGGTGCTAACTTCCATTTACTTATAAAATAACCCACAGGGTTATCCAGTGGGATTGTTTCTCCTCCCTCTGCTTCACAGGGTTAATTTTGAGCCACAAGTGGGCAAAACAAATACTGCCAGTCATATCAAAGTATAGCTCTATAATATGGTTCAATATCAACCGGGACTGAGTAGAGGCTCTTAAGGAACAAATGATCCTATAATTGTTAGATGACCAAACACTAATCTTAATTAAAATTTGGCAGAAGAAAAAATTTAAAGGGATGATATAATGGGGAAAAAGGGTTTACTTACTAAGTACATTAAAAAACAAACACACACACAAACTCTGATACTGTATTCTTTGTACAAAGATAAAAAGTAACAACAACAATAAAACTAAACCCACTGCCATAAACTCAATTCCTACTCACAGGCCCCTAGAGGACAGGTAGAACTGTCTACTTAGGCTTCTAAGACTGTAACAGTTTACAGGAGTAGAAAGCTTAATCTTTCTCCCATGGAGTGGCTGGGGGCTTTTAACTGCTGAACTTGAAGTTAGCAACTCAATGCTAACCCACTATGCTACCAAGGTTCTCTGTATAAAAACAGGCTGTAGTATATGCCAAATACACAGACCTTCAAGTTTAAATGACTCTTTAAGAGCAACCCAGAAGCAGGTGCTTTTGTCAGGCCTCATTTAGACTTGATGATAAAGTAAAACTAAAGGAAGCAAAACAATCCATACCTGGCAAGAATATACTTATTTTAATACTTTTAAAAGTATAAGTGGTTTATTAAAAAAATCCAAAGTCCATGAAAAAAGTGCTAAAATTGCTACCTATTTATGTTCTCTACTAGAGTAAATCACTTGCTGACATGCATTTGAAAGAGTCACCATAATTTATAACTTGATGGGATGTAGTGAAGATATATAAATTGCTTAGTTTTTAGGATTTGATTTATTTTTAGTTTGATACTGTTAATCTGATAATGGAACAGAGCAAGGGGGTTATGGGCTACTGCTTCATGGATGCCGATGAGCCATCACTCAAAAACCTAAAATTGTTGCCTCCTGAGTTTTCTAGAAGGCAGACAAACTTGTTACCAGAGATAACATATTAATTAAAATTAAAATGTTTCTTCGTAATAGTCTGCAAAAGTACGTATTCTCTCATTTATGGTTTTACATGAGAAAATGAAACAGAATTATCACTCTCTGTTCATTGCTCTTTCAACCAAACTATGATTTTATGAAGTTCTTGACAGCTGAGAAAAATGCCAACCCAATATTGCTTCGCATAAAGACGACATTGACCAGTTAGTAATAAATGGGAACACTGGCTTCCAGTATTAACACCCATGGGCGCACAGACTTGTGGGAGTGCAGCGCTCCTTAGATCTCAAAACACATGAGGAATTTTGTTTAATTTTTCAGATGAGTCTGTAGCACAATGTCGCTCATTTACTTTTTAATTCCTTCTTAATAATTAGCATTATTAATAGTTTTATGTTAGCAAAACGCACTGCAAAAATTTTAAAGGAACTGTCATATTTTCAAAGTTGACTAAAAAAAGATTTATTAGTTCATCTGATAGAGCTGATAAGGAGTACTTTTAAACTTGGGAAAGACAAAAAAGACAGAGGTGGAGGGCATATATTTGAGTCCTTTAAACAGATACATACCAGTTGAGGGATGAGACTTAATAGTTTGCTGAGATCAAGTTATTTGGCAAATATAATTAATACTCCCATAATCAAGATACATGTTTCTTATATGTATGATCCCATGTTTGTCTTTCAAAATGAAATTCTTTGTGTTTAGAAATGCAAAACACTACATAAAACATATGAAGTATTAATATAAATATGAGGATAAAACAAAAGGCATTGCTCCAAAGCAGTGGTTCCCAACTTTCCTAATGCCGTGACCCTTTAATATAGTTCCTCATGTTGTGGTGACCCCCCAACCATAAAATTATTTTTGTTGCTACTTCTGAACTACAATTTTGCTACTATTGGAATTTGGCAACCCCTGTGAAAGGATCATTCGACTCCCAAAGGGGTCGCGACTCCCAGGTTGAGAACCACTGCTCTAAAGGGTCCAGTTCACACATGCCTGGGTTTATTCTCAGCAAAACATGCTTAAGCACGTCTGTGTTTGGTGGATGGCTAAGGACAAGCTCTCTCCGTAATACACATATCTTAGTCTCATTATGGTAACTTCAAAGGACAGGTCCAAGTATAATAGTGACTTCCAGGGAGATCTGCTGGGCCAATTAAACTCAAGGCAGAGAGGTCAGCTCAGAATGAGATAGAGACCATTTAGTGGGATTCCAAGGGGCAATCTTAGTAGGTTTTTCTTGACCAACAGAGGCCTATCATCGAAGCATGTGATACGTAAGTTTTAAGAAAACTGTACTCTTGAGGAAAAGGCCAGGAACATTGTATCTCGACATTTTCTTTTCATCATAATGCACTTTCTTGTTCAGGAAGGTGGTAAGCAAGGACAGTCTTATCCCAGCACCCCACAGCCCTCCTCACGCCGCTTCAGGGTTCTTTTGGTTCCCCCAGCAGAAAGAAGACCCAGGGAACACGACTCAAGTCCTCTGAGTATGCCAAACTACCGCTGCGATGGGATGCGAGGGAAAGGGTTAGCAAGCGGCAACACACCGCTTTCAGAGAGCACAGCCCGAGATGGCAGATATGTCAAGAAGCAGTAACTTCAAATTTTTGCTAGCTTTTTAAATTAAAGTGTCTATGGTTTTGTATACAGGGTCACTATGAGTTGGAATCAACTCAAGGGCAGTGAGTGAGATGGTTTTATAGCACTCTTTTTGGACTTAGCCCTCATATAAATAATAGTACCTTAAGTTTATCCTTCATCAAAGTAATACTATTTGATTTCTTCAACCTCTGTACAAGGATACATTTTTAGAATATCTATGTAACAGATGAAACCAGAGGCTTAGAGAGATTATAGTAGAAAGTGTCCCTAAAAATTTCTCTTTAAAGAAAGGATAAAATATGTACTGAGGCCTTATGAAGCTACAGACCATGACTTTAAATACACACGTATCTGAAAGATCTTCAAAATGTTTGGGAAAACTTTGTCTTTTATTTCCATTTTCCCCATAAACTTTTGAACTCTCGTGTGTGTGTGTGTGTGTGTGTGTGTGTGTGTGTGTGAAAATACTGGTAAGTGGTTTTTGAAAGACTAACATGGACTCATAAATGAAGAGCTATAGAATTTCACAGTCAATATAAATTTGGCACAGATGTTTCAGATTATTTCAAATTTTCAGAAAATGTACATATGATTGTTTTTAAAGCTTTAATTTAGTACAGATTAAAAATAAAATAATAGCTTAAGACAAGATATTTCTGTAATGTTAAACTGATATTACTATGTAAGGCAAAATCATACAACACATGACTACAGAGAAGTACACCCCAGGTGTGTTGGGAAAGGACCCCTGCAAAGAACGTAAAGATCATTTTATAAGTATAAGCTGAATTGTAATGCGGTTTCTATGCAATCGAAGTGTGTCCAATTTGAAAGTATATAATAGAGGATTACATGTTTGGTAGCATATAATCTTCCAAAAACTAATCTGCCACAAGAGAAATTCTAATTCTTACATGCACATCCTTAGGAAAATTTAATTTCCCATTCCCCAATCTTCCTCCAACTTTAAAAATGCCATTTTTTACAAATCTACAAAAGTCTGTAAAATGAATACTATGTTTTTCTTTTAATTTTTAGATGCTCTTGAAAAACCACTGAATTTTAACTACACAGACTCAACCTAGAAAAACAAATCAAATAACCAGGTTTGAGTCCTGATCAATAAGCTATTATAATTTATCAAAGGGTCACCAGGGTGGAAAGGTGAGGGGGAAGAAGCTGATACCAGGGGTTCAAATAGAAGTAAGTGTTTGGAAAATAACAACGGCAACATAAGTACAAATATGCTTAATACAATCGACGTATGCACTGTTATAAGAGCTGTGAGAGCCCCAATAAAAGGACCTTTTAGTAATGAAAAATATAAATTAATAGGAGTCTTTAATAGAGAAAGGCTAATATTACTATTTTAGTTATGTTTCATTACATGTATTCCTACTATTTTATAAACGGGTTCAAAATTGTTACTTTGTTTGCAACAACTATGCCTCGGAGAAGAAATAATAACAACCACCAAACTGTGTATCTAAGATTTTAATTAAATCCAAAGGATAATAACAATGTGCTTGTTAAGTCTATAGCACAGGGGGTGGAGATAATGTAGGCCCCTGTCCCCCAAGCCTCCACAGGGAGGGAAGAAGGGGGAGCTCTTTTTAATTTGTTACGTTGACTTTTGTTTTCTACGCTGTTCCCCCTTCCTCCTACATTTGGTATCCCAGGGGTTTCAACCGTCATCTCCCCATTTGGTCCCCTTGGATTGTCTTTTTCCTTGTCTGTTGATTCTAATTGTAAATAAAGAAAATATTATTTTAAAAAATAGTTTATAGCACAGCAAAATATGACAATGAATTCTCTTTTAAAATGATCTTCTAGCTTCATCAGAAAAAAGCAGCATAAGAAAGATGATTATCAAAAGAGCTGCAGATTTTCCTTGTGGAGGAAGGACACATAAAGAAGAGATGACCTGTTAGTATGTACAGCACAATCATACAACACATAAATACAATGAAAGAATGCCCCTGAGAAGAACATAAGACGATCTCACTGCTTATTTACTCATGTCAGAGAGCCGAGCTCCGCTGATTACATTGAATTTAGAACGGCAAGATAAACTGGACAAGAGTAATACTGTTTATCCCACCTACAAATGCAGCTACTTACCTTTTCTTAATGGCATTAGAGAGAAGTGGCTCAAAATTACTTTGTAAGGCTTTTTGGAATCTTGGTTCTTAATATGTCTACTCTCCAGAAGTTGCCCTAGGTTTCATTCACTTGCCCTAAGCCTGTTCTTTTGTAAATTCTGACAGTAGGAACTACAGAAATGTGTTTTCTTTGAAAGATCTTTGTAAATGACCTGAAAAACATTCCTTTCCCAACACACTTTAAGATAAAGAATCACAAGTTATACATCTACTGCCACCACATCATTCTCACCACCAGGTTGCAAGAGCAGGCACTAAAGAAGCCAAACTTTCAAAAGATGTGTCTCCTCAGTTAGAAATTATTCTATATTATAATCAAACAGTGAAAAATATCAACAGCAAAGAAAGACGGGAAATCTTGAATTTCAATATTATTTTCCATCACAGACTACGTCATTGGCATAAAGAGAAATGTAGAAAAACCTTTGTTACCCAGTAAATGATGCATGGTGCACCTTATTTATTCATGATACTTTGCTACTTCAATCAATCCCACCCAGATTTCCTTGAGAAAAGTCATGTTCAAAGACTCATTCACCATTTTGCCTGGACTTTGAAACAATTAAAAACAGTTCAGTCACGGCCAAGGGAGCATACACATTGCAAAGAAACCGAATGTCTTTTCTGTGGAGTTAGAACCTGAATAGGAGTCCATGTGGTGTGGCTGGGTAAGCACTGGACTGCTAAATGCAAGGTCAGTGGTTCAAACCCTTAAGTCACTCCATAGAAAAAAATGAGGCTATATGCTTCTGTGGATGGACCCCACCACGGAAACCCTACACAGGACTACTATGAGTCAGAACCCACACAGGGACACAGGGTTTGTTCTGGCCTTTTTGTGTGTGTGTTTTTAAGGATGTTGCACAAATATGGTGATCAATATACATCCAATACTCAGCCACCGTCTTTGAGTGGGCCACTGTTGCATGTTTCCTAAATCAGATCAAAATCCTACATAAAAGAGATTTGGCTGCTACGCAGAGTGTGTACCCTGTTGGTCATGACTGAATTATTTTGAACTAGGTAAAAGCCCTGCACACCCCACATTATGTGCTTAAAATTTAATGCAGTATTCTGAGTGGCTACAGCACACAAAAATGCATGCCTGGTATTACAGAACTATATTCAAGTTTTAACAGCCACAAAAATGGCCCTACTCAGACAAGGCACTGATGAAGTCATTAGAAGCTAGACATCAATCTAAGGAACTTAAGTGTCTGCAGTTAAAAGAAACCTTCCCAGGTCGAACTATATGAACAAACTTAAAAGGTGAGTCTTGTAACTGAGTTGGGTGGAGTAGGTTAAGATGTGGGCATTATTACCTCCATCTTCGTAATAGCAATTATGTCCATAAGTATTGGCTCCTGAGGATTCTGGAAAGTGTTTCTTTCGCCTTTTTTCTTCTTTTAACTCCTTTTCTTGCAAAATTCGCGCTATGTCCTACAAACACAGAGAGAATGGAAGTAGGTATTTAGCAGGGAATAAACAAATCCCATAGAGTGAGACTACAAGGGTCCACTGGCACGCTTGTATTGATCCCGTCACATCTGACTCATCAGAATTTCTGCAATTCCTAACATAATAACCGAATGTCATAGGTGATTGCATTGTAGGAGTGGCATACGATTCAGATGAGTGAATGAAAGATTATATTGAAACTCTTATATTGAAGTTTAAGTCAAACTACTTCTGAGGACCTGCAAATTTAGCACTTCATCAAGATCTACCACAATCACCTTGTACATGTCCAGAAGAAATGTGTGGGTCCAGTCTGCAAGTTCAAAGAGTTGGCTGGGGAAGGCCAGGATGCATGAAAAAATTCATAAATTATATTCAATTTTTAAAAAAAGCTTTCTTAGTGATTCTGATTTAGTTTTGCATTAGGGCATAAATGTCTTAACTGAGAAAGAGCAACCCATCACCAGCAGACCAACGTCAGGCTCCTATCACTCACCCATTTCACCCAGTTACTGTGCCCTGGTGAGGCGACCTGGAGGTGCTGAACAGTGATTCCCAGGGTCAGTAGTTCAAAACCACCAGCTGCTCTGCGTGAGAAAGATGGCGCTTTCTACTCCTATAAAGAGTTACAGTCTTGCATTCTCACAGGGCAGCTTTCCCTTGTCCTATATGAATTGGCATCAGCTCGGTGGCAGTGAGTTTGAGTGGTCTAGTGAAGTGATAGGGTATATATTGGGCTGCTAAGTGCAAGGGCAGCATTTCAAATTGCTCTAGTACAGATTTTGCAGTTACATTAGGTTTCAAACAAAGAACAAAATTCCAAGAGGCAAAATGGGAACAGAAAACATTACTAAAGGCATAGATGTCTTAGCGGGCACTGATAGAGGGAACAGCCAATGGTTTTTTTGTTGTTAACAGTCTTTATTGGCACATAATCCACATATCATACAATTCAATACTTCAATCATATCAAAAAAGCCAATAGTCTTTTAAAATATAAAGTGTAATATATTGTAGGGAGGGGTGATGTTGGAAAAGTTTGGATTCTATAATGTTGAACAATGTTTCCAAAAGTTGGCAATGCCATGGGAGGGGGGCAGACTGATAAGAGGAGCTACAAAAGCAGATACCTACCCTTTATCCTGGATTATGGGCTAGAGTACAACAGGTTTTTGTTGCCAGGGGACACTGGGTAACTTATTTTTCCGGAAAAGGGGGTGGTAGGCCAAATAAATTTGGGAGCCTATGTTGTACAGGAAGAATAAGTAATAAAATTGAATATGAAGATAATTTCTATAAAAGTATACAATACAGTACATGCACTTTTATGTTCACATATATGTTTCTGGAGAGAAGGCTTATAGCTCTCATGAGATTCCTAAGAACTCTTATAAATATGGCAACTGGCCAAAAAAAAGCCCTTTTTGGTATTTATAATAGTGTCCAAGGACTGCTTAGAGATTGAAATATTTTGAAGTAAGAATAACTATTTTTCCTCTTTAAATTTTCTAAGTAAATCCACGTAAAGACTATCCTAATACACTAGGAGGTTGCATTAAACTTACTCTTAAAGGGTTCTTATGGTTTAACTATCTTTTACTCACTAATGAATTATTGTAATAAATCTCTTGGGTGTCTCACTGGCGTTAAGCCTATTCATCATCTCTGATGTCATACAAATTAATATATTAATTAATCTACCAAGAAGAAAGATGGATTGACAGGTAGTTATTCATGACAAGCTATCATCTATATAGAACAGTTTCCCCAAATCTCTGCTTGTGGTTGATTGGTTCGCTTTATTGCACTTTGCAGATATCATACTTAAAAAAATAATAGGGAAATGTTTGTGGAAACCCTATGCTGAGCAAGGCTATGGGTGCCGTTTTTCTAATAGCATGTGCACACTGCATGCTACTGTCACATTTTTTAATTCTCACAATTCTATTACATACTTAGTAGACTAGTGTCATGTAAGTATAACATATACACTGGAAAATGAAAAATTTCTGTGGTTTGCTATACTGTAATGCCTGTTTTATTGTGGGGGTCTGGTAGTGAACCCACAGTATCTCTGAGGTATGTTTGTACTTTTACATAAGAAACTTCAAATGCTTCCTTGAATTGTCATACTTACTAAGTACCCAATATTATCTATTGCTAAAGTGTTTTGCTTCACAAAAATACAAAAAATCTCTTCCTGCTATAGCTTATGGGAACTATAGCTTATGGGAAAAAATATGTATGTAAGAAAATTTCCGAGGCCAAACTGTCAGCAGAAATGACTAAACTACACTCCAGAGATCTTACAATTGCTTTCTGCTACTGAATTTAGGTTTAATGAATATATAATAATAAATCACACTTCTCATGTGAAAAAAACGGGAGAAATAAGAATGAAATAACAATGACACACTACTTTGTTTCACTAGCCACAGGAAGTACTTTTAATCCGGTAGAATCATAATAATGATGCGAGATGCACCTTAGCATCCAAATGTATTTGCTCTTTCAAGCCTTCAGCGCTCTTTTGAGTAATGCCTCACCAGGTTCAGAAAGGGTTTTCCAGGTTAGTGGGGGAAAGAGATAAGAAATCCAAGTAAACGTTGTTGCTGGATGATAGCTGGAATTTAGCACCATCCAGCTCTCCTCCTTTCTTTACACATTACTGTGCAATGAGTTCAGTAGGTGATGTCAATATAATTTCTCTTCAAACAAGCTAAAAAATGGTGATTACTAGCCACAGTATTGAGATGTAGTTAACTAAGCCTTTGACAGAAACAGCTTCCGTCTCCTCACTTTCCTTCCTGTTAAACATTAGTCTAGAACTGCACTTTCCAAGTTGCGTTCTTAAGAACACTGGTCTCAAAAGATTCTCTAGACAAACACAAAGCATTCAATGGAAAGTGTGAATCATAAGTAACTCTTCAAAAGGTATATTAGAATATTAAAAACCATGATGATTAAAGCAAACCTCTTTGATGATGTAAGCCTCTTTTTCACATAAAAAGTAAGACTTACTGGAATGGAGCTTGTTGTTAACTGTGGAGTCAATTTTCAGACTCGTGTGGCAAAGGAGAACCGCGCCTACAGGGCTTTCTAGGCTGTAACCCTTAGGGAGGTGGGTTGCCAGATCTTTCTCCTGTAGGACTGCTGGGCAGGTTCAGGCTGGTCAACTGCTGTGCCATGAGGGTTCCTTTACAATTAGTATTCCACAAACACAAGTTGGGAAAGTACCAATCTAACAGAACTCTCATAGCTTCTTACCATCGTTTTCAGTTATTTTCTAATTAATCAGGTAGATACATTACAGAGTATTATGCAAAAACAGTTCTGTTATGTAGAAGAATTCCCAGTAGCAACAGTTATTGGAGTAGCTTGTATCTCTTTTCACCTTTCTGTTATCCAAGTTCAGATAACTCTAGAACACTTGGAACTGTGAATTGATTTGTAGACTGCTAGAAAAAGATTTAAAAAAAAAATCATTTTATTGGGGGCTCGTACAACGCTTACCACAATCCATACATACATCCATTATGTCAAGCACATTTGTACGTTTGTTGCCATCATCATTCTCAAAACATTTGAGAATGTTTTGAGCCCTTGGTGTAATGTGTTTTTTGTTGTTGTTTTTTTATTTTATTGAGGGCTC